AAACTATAAAAAGGAAAGGTCATTCCATTGCTTTAGAAGGTAGCTGTAGAGTCACCCTTCTTGATATTACAATGAGGTGAATGAAATTCTCTGGCCCACAAAGGTTCCTGGCAACCCATTCGAGAGGCAAGTCAAGATTAAGCTCTATTCCCTGCACGCGGACAATGCCTTCAAGCACTAGGTCATCAGGCTCCCCAGCTGCGCTACCCAATCCCGCCACGGGCTCTATAGGGCTCGTACTAGGCTCCTCGTCTGCTGTTTTTGGAGAGGCATCACTAATGGCCTGGGACACACTATCATCAGTTGGGCCTTCGGTCTCTAATTTGGATGTTGGACTGCTTTCTCTTGGTTTCACTGATAACTCGTCCAGACTTTCGGGGCGTGTGAAGAGGTGTGGCACCATCTTTAATAGTGCATCTCGTACAGTGAGAATGCTACCTGGATGTAGTGTACAAACAAGATCTTTACAACATGCAGTAGATGTATGATGTATGGCAGGAAAACTGTCATTGGCGAAAAGTAATGGGAGGAATAGGTGATGAGGCAAGGATACACCCTATTAGAGTAATTATTACCTCCACGAAGATCAATGGGGCGTGTCGTGTACACAACTTCGTCCCAGCTTGAGACTGGTGCAGCATCAAAGAGGTCATCTAAGTCGCGGTCCACTGTCCTCAAGTAGACTCGAATAGGAACCCTGCTTGGCCTTCCGCTTTCGCTTCCTATTGCCAATTGCAGGGTTGGGAATATGGGCGAGGATTTTAGAAACTATATTACTGCGCATTATCACATGATGAACCAACTAATAATAATAATAATAATAATAATAATAATAAGCAAGAAAAATCAGTCGATGGATCCGCCGAATTTCAAGGTTTTATGACAACACTTATATGTGCAATGTCTGAGCACGAAAACTCATCGCATCATGACTATAAACGATGAACACCAGACATATGCAGAAGGAGAAAACCAAGGGCGATGAATCTCGACATCTGCAAAGACCTGGCTATATGCACCGGTCTCGACCTGGCTATTATATGTTTGCGGTGCTGATAAACTTGTTATCGCTTTTCCGATTTACCAAAAAGCCTTTATGGCATAAGAGCACCACAAAATCAAGCACGATACCTGCTCTAAGTAATGCACCACCGGACGAAGCATCATCACAGGTTGGGGTGAGCAGAATTTCACGAACCCAGTTTCCTCCACCACCAAATCCAGGTCTCAAACGGGCTGCAATTCGATCATAACCTTCCAGCTCTCCTGTAGCTCCACTAAAGCAACATTACTTCTGATTTATCTTGGATTCCCAAAGAACAAAGACTATCTAAGAGCAACAACCCTACAACCGAAGTAGGGTTATCACAGTAATCGTATCACAGTACAGAGTTTAAGCTTAAAAATTCCTATTTCATAAAATACATCACGGTGCAATTATCTTTTGTGTAACTGCGAACACAGTATTTCTTAAAAAAACAACAATTTTTTTCACTTACCAATGAATTTGACAATCTGAACTGTACATTCTGAATCATCACCTCTCAAAACGGGACTACAATCAAATAGCTGGATACGATTGTATACCCTACCATTGAATAGCACAGCAAACAATCACTTCACATACCTTTGACAACACATCGCCACAGCTCCACCTGATCTAACTGCGAAATGTTCATTACGCTCTTTATATTCCCGTACATGACATACGATGCCTGTCCAAACAACCAAAAGAATAAGCCCTAACTTCAGACGTCCAAAAATACAAGCCTGCTCAGCTAATGAAATACTACGTTCATTCAATATTTTCCTACATACCTTGAGATGTTAAATTTAAAATAAATAAATAAATAAAATTGCTCCTTATGAGTTTGGTATTACAGAGGATCTAGACAAAGGCACACAGCACAAAAAAGGAAAAAAGACAAAGAAAAAACGAAACAAAGCAAAGCAAAACAAAACAAAAAAAAGAGAACAACAAATAAAAAATGGTCTTGCACCTCTTTAAGGGCGTTCACGAAGTTCCACTTGACCGCATCATCTTCACACACAGTCAAGACCTCTACAGGATACGCCCTAAAATGTAACTGCACGCAAATTAACTGGAAAAGTCAAGCGAGAGGTAACATAGCTTACATTACACTCAGTTTATTTTGTTTCTTTGTGAGGTCCAAAGAACATATGTCACTTGCGCTTCTATCGTCCAAATAGATGCATTTCATTTCTAACTTGTGATGGAACCAAACAAGTCAAGATGAAAGGTTGAGAATAAAAGTTTTCAAACAAATAGAGACTACACATACCGTGAGGTTCCATGGTCTTTCAAATTCTGCCACCAGTAGATCGTACAATACACCCGTCGGGATGTGCCTATGGTACACGAGCAACAAGGCCCGCTTTCAAATTCACAATATGCAAGCAAGCTACTTCGTGATAACCCGCGTACATGGCGGAGGATCGTCACATACTCTTAATAGAGCTGTCGAAAATGCCAAGCCACTGAATTTCATCAATGAGGTGAAGAGTTAAAGTAAAGCAGAAGTTGTCGCAAGCATCATACCATTTTAAAGGCAATCCTTGATAGTCAAACCATATGGAATCAGCATTGGAAGGTATAGCCTTCGCGAAATGCTGTTGAATCTCGGGCTCCAACAACGGTAGGTAACCATTTCGTGGTGCCAACATCTGTAAATCATTTCAAGCACCTTTACGATCATCCGAACTTCTTATCTAGTCAGAACGCTTATCATTTACATCTCGTTTCCAAATGCTGAGCACGCCAATCTCACGCTATGTGTGAAGGCTACTTTCGCAAAGGACAGGCCTCAGATGCCGAGGTTCAGCTGATAGACAGCTAGCATTTAATTCAACACCACGAAAATGATTTTATGAAATTATCGCAGGTCTAGCCTTCAGACAGTAAATTTAAATTATTAGCTGCCATCACTCCACGCGAATTCCTTACATTTCAAACGTCATCGATATCTCACCGTTAGTACCCCAATCTTTAGGAGTGCAGTGCGAGAAGCAAACAAAATCAAGGTTATTACGAACTCTATTCACATGAACCGTGTAAGCAATATTAGGGGTTTGGTACCGATTGGATAGTACTGATGCAAAGCTTTGGACCTACATGATCTGAAATATTTACGCCATGTAAAATCTCTATAATGATTCCGATATGAAGTATCCTGCGGTATTCATCGGACCTAAAATCCATAAGTTATAAAGTATACCGTGAAAACGAAAAATACGCTCCTGATATGCGCAGATTTTTCAATGGTTCCCAAATAAACATCACTTGTTGATTACATCTCATTCTCTTGCGATCAATTGATTAACAGCATAATGTATTCCGTATACAAACCGACACTTCTGACAAACACAAGCAATTTCTTAGAACGCTTGCTCATCCTGACATTGTGGCAGCTTGTACTCTATTAACCCACCTCCTAATTGAGCGATCGGACAGCCAAGTTATCAGCGAGCCTGGAAATCCCGCAAAGTTTTTAAAAAATCGATTCACAAACTTAATCATCAAGAAAAAGGGAATTTTACCAGGAAAGGTGAAGGAGCCTGCGAGCCAGTGATTTCAGATGGGTGAAGGTGGAGTTGTATTGGCACGGCTCCCGACCAAACTTGCTTGCGAGCCTCCGCGGTGATCACACCGAAATCCACCTCCTCCACTTTCTTCTTCTGTTGCTTCCCTCCACGCGCCATTCCTCACAAACACGCCACCCAAAAACCCAACTCCGATACGATCCACTCTGCAGCGGTGCCCGCAACCCAAAGAGCTTCGATGATTCTACCTTAACCAAAATTCCATCGAGACCTAAATTCCCAAAAAACCGACTCAACCTCAGAAAACCTCAACCTCCTGATGAATTAAGCTCCCACTCGAATTGCCATAACACTCAAACTACAGATGTGATGCCTGCAAAAAGATTACCAGAGCTCCCTTCTCTTAACTATGTGAGGCATGTCATAGTTGGTACCGCCATGTCCAAGTCACGATTCAGACACATGCGTGAGACACATAATCCCCAGATTCGACCTCCCCCATGGTTGCCGACTACCCAAGTTATCGCGACTCACATAAAACACAAGTCTAAATGTAAGAATGAACTCAAACGCGAGCTCAGAATTAAATCGAGTGAAAACTTCTTCTTCTTCCTCTGTTATGTATATATATATATATATATATATATATAGCTCTACAAATTCACACATATATTTCCTTTGCCTAAGTTTAGATTCCGTGCGCTGTCCAGTTACCGCAACCGGAGGGTCCAACACAGAAGATCATTCATTCATGGTGCATGAATATCTTCCACCTGATGCGCACAATTGAATTAACAGAGAACCGCGATTGCAATCCTCCTAAAACACAAATACAAACACAACATCACCTATGAATAATAATAATAATAATAATTAGAAGATACACCTCGAATGCTTGATACTCCATGTGGAGGACAGACAGACAGAAACCTTCTCTGCCTATTTCTATCAAAAGCTTCTTCGAGTGGAGAGAGCAAGAGTTGCAAGTTATGTTGAGTGTGGCAAAGCAAGCAAGCAACAGCATTGTTCCATATGTGGTCATAAGTTCGGGTTCTAGGTTTTGGTTCTATTTAAAGTAGTTTCTACCACATTTTGTTCAATATTTGTGTTTTCATTATTATTTTTTGTTATACTTCGGGGATTTTTTTTGGAAGGGGGAGGAGGGGGTTATGAAGGTCAAGGTAAATGTGCTAAAGATTGTGAATTTGTCCAATTTCTTTAATTAGATGAAGATGTACTACAATCTTTTGAGTATAAATTAAGAGATTTTTTTTACAATGAATCTATGAGTAATATGAAAGTGATTAAATAGACAAACTCTATTAAACTTTAGATAATAAAAAAACAAGTTTGTGTATGGAACTCAAGTTTCCAAGATATAGAATGAAACTTTGACTTAAAATTGAATCAACTTTTAATTATAGTTGGGTGGGTCATCCTCAACAACTTGCTAACATGAGTCATTATCACAAACTTGTAATGTGGTTACAATTAGGAGAGTGATATCTTATTAATTTCAAAGTAGAAAGCTTAGAAATGAACTAATAAAATAAAAGAATCAAAGTTTATAACACAGAAAGCTTTGAAGTGATTCCATCACCAAAATTGAACTATTGTTTACCACAATTACTCGTTTTTGTGCTTATTATAAAATATGAAGACGATAAAATCTTCAAATTATACCTTTGAAAACATAATCAAATAAGTATGATAATTGATGTATTAAGTGATTTCTAATATCAATAAATGGATATAAAAACCTTCACTTAATATCTCCAATATATCTATAAACATTGTTGAGTTCTATATATTAAAGCTAATTCAACACTTAATATATTTAATGTATTGAGACAAACTAATCAAACACTTTTTGTTCTTAAACACTCTCTTAAAAATTAAAAAATGGATGGTGCCTGCACATGATCAAAGTTACAATGCTCATGTTATTGTTTTAAATTACGTCTGAAACCCAATTGTTAAAGACTTTTGATCTACATTCCTCTCATACTACTCTTACCACTCCTGGCAATTTGTTATGATTTTATTACATAAACATCTGCGCATACTCCAACACTGCCCTAATTGCATTTCAAGAGAAAAAAGTAAATAAAAGTCAAAAAGAACTGTTACACACAAGACGTCTACAGCAATTGCCGCTCTTCTTTCCCACTCTCCGAAGACTTGGTTCTATTAGGGCCAGCAGAAGTCTATACATTGATTGGAACAGCAGCCACATCGACACCATGAGATGACAGAAACAGAGCAACACACCCCAACGCATGAGTGACGTCAAAGACAGACCAAAACAGAATTTGTAAAGAAAACACACTGACTTAATCGAAAACTATACATGTTTGGACAGATTTGGATATATACTCTATTCCTCACCATGAAGGTGGTAAATCAAGCAAACATACAATCGATCAAGTCATCGAGTGGTGTACAACAATCCACCCTGTTAAAGTTTGGTGGATTTCATCTTAACTACATACCAATTCTGCTAGAGTCAAACCGCCAGCACGAAATCTCTGAATACAGAGAATGGGCCCCAAGTTGAGGATTCAACGAATGAACAACGAGAGATAATTAGACAAAACTCCAGAAGTGCAGTGTTCGTGACTAGCATCAAAAAGGACGATGGCAAGGTGACAAGGAAAACCGTCGTAAACAGAAACCCTAAACCAACAAATCCAGAACACACAGAGAGACTCCCAAGCACCAGGTACTCACAGAAACACAAGTAGGGCTTGTATTGCACACGATCGCATTGGTCCTCAGCACTAGAAGGAATCGACATACAGAAAATCTGCTAGATTAATAATCTCCAGAAGATGTTACAAAGGGACCAACTCTGATCATGTGAATTTAACTTGCATTAAATCACTTCATGCTGCTGGGATACCTGAAATGACATCTTCACGACAACCTTATATCCGCAACAACGAGCAGCTGCTAGCTCATACAGCAGCTTCAAACTTGAAAGGTACACTATACAAATGAAGAACTTACTTAATTGACGATGACGATCAATCATAGCTCCATATCTTCCAAGTCTGGCAATGGAAACCGTAAGATGGCAGCAATGCCAGTCAGTTGCTGAAGCTGCTCGCCAGAAATGTGCATGGAAGAGAATACATATACATCCCCGCCTCCAGCCTTGACCGACTCTACAAGGTCCACATACTTACGCCTCGTGGTAATATCAGCGCTTCTGAAGAGTTCATCAGTGATGAGAAGAGTCTGAATAGCTAGGCGATCGTGTGCTGCAAATACATGACCAGGGCCATAAAAAGCTCGTGAGGAGTCGTTGGCGAGCATCGTATGGAAATCATCCAATGCCTTGACTTCTTTCACCGCTTTGGTGTCTTTGATGAGTGCCAAAACAGCGGGAGCCGCCAGCACTTCCTTCAACGCATGCTTGTAACCAGAGGAAGAATGGGTCAAGACAATCTTACCCTTGTTCTCAACAATTGGGCGCAAATCCCGTCTGGTAGCCTCTAACATCATGTAGGAAAAAAACTGGTCTTTGGTAAACCCTGGACTGGCAACCACGAGACAGCGAACGACTGCAAAATTCACGTGGCGCAGCACAGCTTGGAGCACATTCTCAAAAAACTTATTTAGGGCTTTGTCATAACCAGCAACAGCAGGTCCATGCTTCCTCGGGATGGAAGTCTCCACCCTTCCTTTCACCGTGGTAATACTTGCCCCAACCAAACAAATATTCGCCAATCCCTCTTGCATCATCACGGCGGCGACATCCGCACTCGCAGCCGGATCACAAGCCTGCTTCAGGTAATCAATCGCCATGGCGTCCCAGACCGCCTTGGCCAGAACAAATGGGCGCTGCTGATCCAGCTCCATGGTGTGATACGCCCCGAGCTTCACATGCTCGCTCTCCAACATATTCTTCCCCCTCACTCGCAACACCGACGCCACCTTATCATACTCAACAGTCTCCACCTCCACCTCGAGCTTCAATCGCACGCGCTCAGCCTCCCCGGCCCCAGAGGCCGTCTCCCGCATCACCTTGCGAACTGTCACACCCGATACGCGATCCCCCTTAGCCACCAGATTGTAAACGTGCCACATATCCTCGGGCTCCTCCGGCACCAGCTTGACACTACCCGCGCCATTCTTCGTGATGTCCTGCCGCACCAGCTTCATGGTGACGGACACTGATTCTCCACTCACTCTTCCAAAACCCAACCCTAATCCCTCATTCCAGCTCTAAAATCACTCTTCCACAACTGGGTCACGCAGCAAAATCACTGAACAGGACGATGAGAAGATGAATCAAAGCTCAGCTACTAATTCACGAGAGAGGGGATCCAAATTCCGCGTTCAGCCGACACACACACACTGATCTCATCTCACACGGTGCTGCACCGTTTTGAGCAACCACACTTATCTATTTAGCTACGAGGGAGTTGGGTGTAGAAATTCGGCATCGAATTGTTGGGGATATTTGCTGCTTCATGTACAGCGCGCATTGAAACAGCAGCGCGGTGGTGAATCTGTGCTGTGCTCGTGAATCCTCCATTCTTCTTCTCACTCATTCCAGGGCTTTACATCCGAAGGAAGCAGGAATCCCATTCATAGTCAGTCAGTCAGTGGACAGCACCAGGAGATTGAGGAGAGACGAGTGGATGATGTATGAAATGGATGAAAAACTGACGTTCGTTCGTTCGTTCGTGTGAATGAACGACGACGCTTCCAAACTACGAAGACGAGGGAGTCGTTTTGTATTTTTAATTTTGCTCCTCTTCTGGGGTTGTGTTTGTTTGTGTGTGTGTGAGAGATATCTTCACTCCAGGCCAAAATTTTATTTATGTATGTAATTGAAGAAATTCTAACTAATTGAAAAATAAAAAATCATAATTAAATAATGAGTTTTATATATATATATATATATATATATATAAACTCTGTGTGTGTGTGTGTGTGTGTAGGGAATTGTTAAAGTGACCCAAGCATTTACTAAATCAACCTACCCATCATCATTGGTTGAGAATCCAACCATTTTTTCATGTGGATCTAGTAGTGGAGAATTTTTTGATGATGGTTAGGATAGGTGGGTTGATTTAGTAAATACTTGAGTCACTTTAACAATTCCCTATATATATATATCCTATCTAAATTATTATAATTTTAAAAATTATCAATAGAGCTATTTGTGTAATATTTTTGGATTTATTTTTATCAAATAAGATTCTCTATTGACACTTTATCAATAATAAAAGATAAAAAAAAAAGTTGGTCTCTGATATAAATGAATAGACTAAGTCAAATTTGCTGAAGGATATTTAATCAATTGATGGATTCAAATATCATAAGTATTTAATATATTTAATATAAAATATAATTAAAAATAAATATTTAATTTAAGAAATATATATATGTACATATTAAAAATAATTGATTATATAGGTTAATAAATACTATAATAAATACTATTAATAGTAAATACTATTAGTATAAAAACACTTTAGTATGCATTGATTCAAAAAATAAAGAATCCAAATTTAATATTATAATAAAAAATAAAAATTTAATTAAATTTACTACTATTTCTAAGTATTTTAAATCTATTGCAAAAAAGTACTCCATTCAAATAAAAAAAAGTATTATATTTTCATAAATTAAACTTCAAAATAAAAAGAATTGAAAAAAACTTATATAATAATTATTTATATTATTTATTTTTTTATAAGTGGTACAACAAGACATTAGTTATTGAATTATTACATCTCAATTAATAATATAAATTATATTTATTAGTATCTGATTTCTTTTGTATAAATAAAGATTTAACTTTGATATTATAAATATTTTTTATTGTGGATTAAGTAATTTAATAACAAATAGCTATTGAGTAAGCACTTTAAATCATATGAGTGTGTCACATTTGATTTGTACATAGGGGCATACTTAATTTAATTTACAATCACATGTGTAAATATTCTATGAACAAATAAAATAAAAAATTATTAAAATTTATTTTTGTAAAAAAATATTGAACAAATAATGTTTCTAATAATGTATAATGTTTTGTCTCTAGAGATATATTATCATGAAACAGAGAAACCACTTTATTACATATAATATTAAAGAAATGATAAGAGTTTGTGTAAGTTATAATGTTTTATTACAAAATATAATTTCAAAATTTACAATAAGATATTCAGGCACAAAATAATTATTTTTTTACCATTTGATTTATTCTTATCTAATTTATTTTTTTTATAAGTTTTACTATTTATGACTATTTTTTTGAAATTTTTATTACTTTTTTTATAATTTTCCTATATCTTTTTCATGTATAGTTATAGTTTTAAAAATTATTATTATTCTTAGATTTTCAATTTGTAGCTTAACTTCATCTACTTGAAAAAAATCAATATAATAACAATAATACTGAGTTTTAGCATAGTGCATGATGAATGTTATTGTTTTTTGTTTTGTTTTGAAATTAAAAATAATGTGTAAAAAAAATAATTTAAATTAAATATATATTATGTTTTTAAACAAGGCATTTTGGAGCCAAATTTGAAAAAAAAATTTTGGCTAAAAAAGACACAAAGTCTACTAAAAACGCCTCTTGTTAGTATTATATGTGCAATTGTTTTATAGATAATGCATGTAGCTCATGCAAACATGGAACATGAAGAAAATTTTGTAAACTCTAAATTTCTTTAAATCATCTTTGTGATTGTTGAAAGATTGCAAAATGTTAGAATATTGTAGAATACACATAATATAAAGATTGAGAAAATATATATATATATATATATATATATATTCAACAAACAAATAAATAAACAACACTTGTGTTATAAACATAGTAGAATATTCTATATTTTGATTTATTATATAATAATTCAAAAGTTATGACGAACAAAAAATTATAAAAGATATCCATGGAGATCTAGGTTTTAGAAAAAAATTATGATTATTATTAACATAAATAATCAACTATTTCACTTCATTACATATAACATTAAAGAAATAGCCGATTAAATATAATGTTGATACGCATGGGGAGTTGAGTTCTAAAAACTTCAAGTCCACAAAGCTTGCTCTCATTTATTCTATTACTTGGCAAAAAAGGTACTAAAGTAGACAACCCATTTCCAATAACTTAAGCATTTTAATATATATTTAATATGTATAAAAATAGAAAAATATCTCATATATAGAAATAATAAAAAATAGATTTTAAGTGTTTGCACATAATTTGGCCTAAAATCAGACATTATATATTTTTTTTAGCTGAAAAATCTCTTCAATCCATTTTAGACATATAGGACTATTCAATTTTGATTGGTAGTGGATTACAAAATCAAGAATCTAACTTTTACAAAACCATGGATTGAAAAAGCAAGAGAGCTGATTGTTGTATTCTTTGTTATTGCTCTAGCTTTTGTTAGTGCTTGCTCAAGGTAGTTGGCTCAATAATAAAACAATTCATCATCATATTGCTTTAATTGATGCATATCAACTTAATTAAAAAAGACATCCTCAACTTCATTGACTAGATTAGATTTACTGAGAGAAAAACAAAACTATTAGCATGACTCTCTATTCAAATATAAATCTCCCATAGCATGTAAAACTCAATTAAATTTTTTTTTTCATTGCAGCCATTAAATTACAAGAGTCTGGGAGTTATTATTGTATCTATAGAGAAAGACAAAAGTCTTCAATAAAATCTTAATAAATGACACATAAATGGTATGTTTTTGTATTATGTGTGTTCTTGCTTGAGAATACATTGGGCACCTAGTTGTGGAACATAAGTAAAAATGCAAAAACAATTCTACTAAGTCTAATAGAATCTTAAATAAACTTCAAATAATTCCTAATAAATCCAATCAAACTTTAAAATATCAAAAGATATACAAAGAATTTATGATTTAATTTCAAGAAAAATAATAAGAAATCTTAAAGAAATATAAAAATACATCTTTAAAGAAATAATAATAATCTTTTTTAAATACTAAAAATAAAAACTTTAAATAAACAATAAAAGAATCTTAAAGATATACTAAAAATAGAAATACTAATATAATTCTAATTAAAATTCTAATTAAATCTTAATCAAATTATAAGTCAAATCCTAATGAAATTCTAATGAAGTCCTAAATCTTAGACAAACTTTAGAAAAATTCTAATCAAATCTTAGTCAAGTTCTAAACCAAATCTTGAGCAAATCCTAATTCTAATCAAATCTCTAAAAAATCCTAAACCAAATCCTAATCAAACCTTAGATCTTCAACAAACTCTTTACAAATCCTATAGCAGAATGGAACATCAACAACTAATAATTGATATCAACTCAAAAGTTTCACACTTTTTAACAACTTAGTTAGAAACAAGCACAAGAAAGATGAAATGGATTGCACTTACCAATTGAAAGAAATATAAGATAATTCAATTGGATGTTAGACGGCCTCCTACTCTAACCTATGCCATTACCTCATTTTTGAATCATTTGATCCATCGGTTCGTTCACCCTGCTACCCGTCTTTGCCCCAAAAGGCTCTTAGCTGAATGGGCACCAGGGTGAATCAAGCCTCAACAGGTCAGGTACCAGAAATAGTTGTATGCAAGACTGTCATGAGATATTGACAGTACATACTAGCCACCAGTGCAGCAGCAGCAGCACACAATAATCTAGTCAGGAGAAACTTTTATCCACATTTCCAGGTGTAAAGAAGAATAATTATGGTAATCTTGGTGTACACTCAAGAACACCAATAAACCTGCATCTGTGTACTCAATCTCCCCCTTGAAGATGGCCAACAACAGAAAAAACTACAGGGGCCATACACTGCTACAATACCTTGGCCTTACTGGCTCAACACTTCACCTGGGAGTGGAACACTTTTCCCCCTTCTTTCCAACTCTTGCATACAAAGAGGGGTCAAAAACTAAAACTACAACATAATTTCCACCATTCCTCACAACGAATGGCTTCAATACAGCACTCTGAACCATCCAAAAACTGCCCAACATTACCTTGAAAAGAGTGAAAGCTAAACTTCCAGTGCCAATACCTCATTTTTGAACCATTGAATTGCTCTCAAATTTTGCCTAAACATTGAAAATCAAGTCTAATATCTATTTAAAAAAATTTCATTTCAATCCAATTGATAGACTCCTAAAAATCTTAGAAACACTTACTGACCTTCAAACTCCATTTTTTGAGACCTCAATCCATAAAAACCCTCATATACTTCAATCTAACCATTTGATTGACCTCAAAATTTTCATATACATTCACAACTAGTTCACCAATACATTGCTCAAATTTCACTTGTACTCACAGTACAAAACTCAAGAAACCCTCAAATTTGTAAACATATTTTTATTTCTCAAACTCTAATTGTATCAAGGACTTTACTAACTTTGAAAATCATTCAAAAATTCAATATTGATCCAAATGACATAAAACCAATGCTTAAAAATATCTCCTCAAGTTTACTTAAATTTCTATTTTTGGATCTACAAAAAAAACCTTGGAGTCACCATAGGTGCATGGTTATATGCCTCAAAGTCTGATTTCAACCTGAGTTAACAACTAGTCCTCTCCGGGTATCAATTCTTGGCTTCTTGAGGTAAATTTTTCTAAAATCTACTCTTAACTCCATCCTACACATGCTTATATTATTTAATTTCCCAATCTACTTTATTTTGCCTTATTTATGGCCCTACAAAGTAAGTAAAAGTCCATTTTGCTAAAAGGTAGCATTAGCACTTTTTAGTTTTCACTATCTTTTTGACTATTATCTATATTTCTAAGATAACTTGCTACAATATTTAAAAATGAGATCTTCTATAATATAATGTTTTCTCATCTCTTTTATTTATTAGCCATGTTACATCACAAAAACATAAAGTATTAACCAATTTCTTCATTTTTTTGAATTCTCCACCATTTGCATAAGCATGTAGCATTGAAATATATATAATGTCATTTGGCTTGTAACTACTTCTATTTTGCTCATCCAATATTAACTCTGTTTGCTTCCATTGACCTTTGGCAACTCGAGCTAATAAAGTATTTAAGGTAGCTAGATTTGGCATGTATTCAACATACTACATACCATCCTATATATTCAATACATGATTTGAAAATATACATCTTCCATAAGTCTTAATTGGAATGTTAAAAGTAGCCTTATCTAGCACAAATCAAGCCTTCTTTATACCTTGAAAAACTTATGAACAATAGAACAAATTCCATCAACCTAAAATTAAGAACTCTAGTAATTCATGTCAAAATTCTTCAACTCTTTCACAAACATAAACAAAGACAATAAACTAAGATCTTAATAAAAAAAAAACTCAAGACAAAGAAATGCTACAATTAATAGCATAAATCTTGATCCAACTTTGTCATTAACTTTGTGCTACAAAGAATTATATTGTAAATTCTTGCATAATCCAGACTATATATTTGAAGCCAGTAGGAAAGAGCTAGAGCCAACATAGCCAAAAGAAAGAATTATATTGTAAGTTCTTACAAAACTTCAAAATAAATTCTATTTTTGTCAAATGCTCCCAATAATGAATTTTAAATAACAATATCTGATTTAATTCCAAAATTATATGCTTCTACTTTTTTTGCATCCACAATTATTTTTTCTAGGTAAGATTTGAATCAAATATCAAAAATAGGAGCTAGAAGGATGATGACAACAATGATTACTCACAATGCAAGACAAGAACTAGGAACTGAGAGAGGAGGTTGGCATAAAGGCTAGGAACGAGGAGAACAAGGACAAGGGATAGAAGGGGTACAATGATGGTTTAGATATGTGGGTTAATTTAATAAAAGCTTGAGTCATTTTAATATATTTTTTTTCCTCTCTCTCTCTTTCTCACTATATATATACATATATATAAATTTTATTTATGTAAATAATATTATTTATTTAATTACGGTTATTCTTAATTATTTAGTAATATTTATATATATTGATAATAAAACAATTTTTGTCTACTATTTGAAAGCAAAAATCAAGGAACAATCTCAAAATTGAATAATTGAGAGGGATGAGTTTTCTTGTCCATTTAACTCTATAATTTAGGCACACTCAAAAAAAATTAATGAGGTTGCACTGGTAGTGGAAGGAAATCATGTGTGGTCAATAAGAGAGTAGGATAATAAATATGTTCAATAGAAGAGTGGGAGATTGGAAGTTAAGGTAGAATTTACTGACATAAGAGTTGAAAAATCAGCACAATGGCATTAAGTAGTCACTATGGAGATTTAACCTTGAAACTTCATAAGTCTGTATTCTAACCAATACCAGGATGATTCAATGAAACCCATACGCTTTTGAGATGGGCTCAGATTCTAAAGTTGCTTTGTATTCACTTTTCCTTGTCGGTGTTGTATATCCCCAGTACTTTATCATTCAAAATTTTGTTGAACAACAGACCAATATAAATCCCAATGCAGGAAGTATGCAATAGTGGAACGCACCATTCGTGCAGCAACTCAAAGAAATAAAACAGTAAAAGGAGTATTTCCAAATAAAAATAGGCCAAGTCTTACACCTTGTTCATACTTTTAACTCAAGACATTTTGCCGTGTTGAGAGCTACTTTTGAGAGATCTTCGCCAGGATAGGCGCCATGATGGCAATCAACCCACTTGGGTTGTCTGTGTGAAGCCAATGTCCTGCATTCTCGAGTAAATGAAAAGAGACATGGTCTGATTTTTTTGCTTCAGCCTCTTTCAAACGTGCAATTATATCCGGTGTCCAGCGGTCACTCTTTGCAGCACGGACGATGTTAATGTGCGTTCCCACAGGTGGATGATCCAACACGGACCAATAATCGGCTTTCCTGCCAGTTCCAAGAATGCCTAACAGAATAAGTTTATGCACACCAAAATCATTTACACTATGCCATGTAATTTTAATAAAATGTTTCAGGATATGGCCTTAAAAAGAAACAAAACAAAACAAAACAAAACAAAAAAAAACCTTCCGGAAAGAAAGAAAAACTAATGCAGAATAGACCAACCAACAGTGATTGGAGGCAACTGCAAACAATATCTGCTAGAAAGATTATTTCAAGTCTCATGAGAAGCTTCAGAAAAGAAGAAAGAGGAGATATGTACTTGTATGAAGAAAACATATCGTAGGCCCCATCGACGTTGAAGACCCAATCCATCTCCTCTGTCGTGGAGCTGACGCGCTTCAGATTGCTTCCTAACCAGTCAGCAAGCCCTTTTGAAAAACCCTTCTCTACAAAATAGTCTGCAAGCCATCTGCACCAGCAAAATATGACAGCGGGACAAGTTTCATTACACTCAACTTCCGAGGTGTCCACCAAAAGCTCTCGAAGACAAGAATTCACTTCAGAAAAGGATGCATAGCCAATAAGAAGAGAATGAAAACAACCCAAAAAAATCAAAAAAATTATAAAACAAAATAAAAGAAAAGAAATCCAAGTAACACAAAGGTAACAGGCTGCTTGCTTTAAGTGTGGCTAGGGCGACCGAATGTAAAGGCGAAAGCATCAGTAGGAACTGACTATGATTTTTAAAAATGCACCTGCGGGAGGGAATCGGCTTAGGCAAGCCCTTCAAGATGGCTAATACTCGCTCCACCTCACCATCTGAATTCTGTGTGGGCACCTCGCCTGGCACGGAATCCAGAATCCATAGCTGCTGACAAGCATCGATCAGTTACATTCTCCAAACAAGCTTGCTTCAGATGGGCTGAACTGTGTTGACTCCACGGAGACAGACCTTGATGCAAATTGCAATATCTTGTCTACTGATGAAAGGTTATGATAAGAGAATCTCTGGTTAATACCACAATGTTAATTACCTGTTTTGGAGGGTTCACGACTCCATAGGATCCCATTGCAGCCTTTTGCGCAAATTCAAGTACAACCTTGCCTCCGAGGGAATGGGCGATCATAGCGTCTGGTGCATCCCAACTCTCACTTTTAATGAGGTCGGCAACATCCCTAGCAGCAGCAGAAATGTTGTGCGGGGGCCTCAAGATGGGCAGATTCGCCGAATTGCCATGATTTCGAAGATCAATAAGAACCATGCGCCACCCTGCAAACCCCCCTCCCCAAAGCTTCTCACATCATGATCGTCAGAAAACCCACACGAACAGCATGTTTCATCATCAAAAAAGACTTCGAACTAAACCATAAAACCCAACAACGAAGCTTGGAGATGCACTTGACTACCCAATACTAAGACCTAAAGATGCACAAGATTCACATCGTTGAAAAGAGATCAGTTCTTCACGCGTGTATTTCCCTCATTGTTTGCAAGTGTACAAGGAAACGGCCGTTGCGGCATCATGGGGACTTCGCTGGAGCAACTGGTAACCTTACCCAGACACCATGTTAGAACACTCTCCACAGCAGATCTTCGTATTAAGCGATGGAAGAACAGAAAATAACTCACCAGCAGATCCAGGAGTGGAATTAAGCATCCCGGTAGCCAGGCGCTTGGAAAAAGTTCTCCAATTGCGACCCGAACCCATCAGCCCATGCACCACCATCGCCGTCTTCATCTCTCCCGTCCCATTACCCTCGACCACCAGCTCGTCGTAAGCTAGAGTAGATTTTTCACGGAGCTGCATTCCAGCGCCCATCCAAGCTCGCCATCCTCGCTGCACCAACACGCTCCCCTTCACCATGGCTCGCTCCATTTGCTCCCAGTGCCCACTTGAAGCACTCACTCCTCCGATAATGCACTCGCTCTCGGACTGCCCCTAAAACCCTAAGGAGTTTCTTTGTCACTGGACTCTTTCTTTCACCTCAAACTTGGCGTCTCTTCCCCACATACTGGAGCGACAGTTTCCAACTGATGACTTTCGTCGAGATTCCGTTGTGCTCTTTAAGTCGTCGCCAACTCTGTGACTAAGGGTGTACAATGAAGGGATAACTCAACTAAAGCATAGAAATCCGATTCAACAGAGATAATTTCCAAAACCAAGCAGTTCACATGCATTTACTGGTGATCAGAACCATATAAATTCGGAAATCATCAATATATCAAGTCTTTAATACCATATCACAGTTTTGAAAAAAAGTTCCCGTGGGTAAACTCTTTGATGGAAATAAAAATCATTATACTCACTCGCATTTCAGGAGTGGCAACAGTACAGTTATTTCGGGCTTACTAAGATAGGCTCAAGAAACTATCTGCGGTAGGTGCCAGTGCAAGTCTCGGCTTCCCCATTATATACACGATTACTGGGGGATCACACGCCTAGTCCATGCTAAGAATCCTCAGTGGAGCCTTCAACTAAGGCATTCTAAGATTTTCAATAATACAACTATGCTGCTACAGAATTCAACACATAATCACTCTTCACTTTGCGACAACAAAAGCACTTGATGCACCCGTGAAGTGCTTCACAGATCCAAGAAAGTGTTTGTAAGCACCGAAGTGACGAATCCGGTAGACCCCTGGTATAGAAGTCTTCGGAACTGTCCACTCGATTTGAGCATAGCTGTAGGTGCTGTACTTCAAGTGCCGACTCCATGAAAACTTCACACTCCAATCATCGTCATCATGCATGGTTCGCCACTGACCAGTTGAATCAAGCAACTCTACGGCGGCATAAGTCCCCTCAGTAAGAAGATCATTACGTGGGCATCCTGTGTGAAAAACAACTGATACAGTTTCACCAACTCGGTAGGTAGAATTCGCTGGTACATCCTTTTGGCAGTCCCCGAACGCAACACCACGGGGTGTCCGATCTGCCACAATGCCAGGTAGGAATCCAAGCTGCTGATCGAGAAGATCAGGCGGTGAAGGCCCAGGTGCAACCTCTAGGTCTTGCGCTAAAGCTGTAGCTAATTTTTTGAACTCCTGAATGTAGCCGTCAAGTGTATGCGGCCCGAAAAGAGTAGAGGCACCCTACACAGCGTATCAAGAACTTCGTTATAAGAATTGAAGAACGTAAATAATACTTAAATACCATGTTTATTTCAGACACAAGTAAAGATTTCCAGACAGGCACTTTTTGATTATATTAATGAATGTTCATCATTGTAACTGCTCATATCAATGTAACTACGGGGCATAAAGGGAGGGTATGGGTCAATAACTTTCCCAATTATGTCAGAATAATACGTACTCTCATAAACTTGCGCTGATAACAGCGAGACGTTCTCTCTTCAGATTGTATCGCTTCAAAAAATTTAAATCCACAACAATTTGCAGGAGAGAGAGAGAGAGAGAGAGAGAGAGAGAGAGAGAAGGTAACTACCTCGTATCGCTGAATCTCGTACTCTTCATAAGTGGCGATGTATTGAGAGTAGTCGCCTGCCAAGCCTGCAATGACTACGCGTGTGTCGGAATTGAACTGCCCATTACCCTTTTTCACCAAGGTGGCCTTCACTGCCTCTCGTAGACGTCGACCAGCCATTGTTGTAAGTTCTGAAGCCATAAAAATTTACTTTCATTACACAAGCAAAGGTCTACAATAAACGAGCACAGTCAATGGTCGCACAAAATGAAAAATGCAAAAAAAAAAACTTCCACGTCATGAATAAGCCTCGACAAATAATAGACACAAGACCGAAAGAAGTCGCAGACCTCCAGGTACAGATAAAATGATAAACTGTCCAATTTGGAGAATCTGAATTGGAAGCACCGATGGCTACATGCAAGAAAGCACCCAGATGTAAGCACATGAAACAGTTAAAAATAGGAATCACTTCACAAAAGACGTACTGGTGATTGGTGAAGAAAGAGGCCAACGAAGTTCCAGTGCTTATTGCATGAAATCAAGGTAAAGAACATTGGTATTTTAGCATCAACATGAAATCAGTAAGAGAAAACCGAATTTCCAGAAGGGTATACAGCTTCAGAACATGTAAAGAGATTTGAACATGTAGCATTCTGTGTGTCTTTCTGTGTGGGCGTGTGTGTGTCTGTGTTGATAAGGAAAACATACCGCCCAATCATATGGAGTAACCATCTCGCCAGTGTCAATAAGAACAGGTTTTGGGCTCTGGCAGTCGATCTGCTTCTGGCCAGGTTTGTGCAGTAATCCACCCACAAGCCTCCAGAATTTATTCCCCTACAACGATAAGCCGCCACTTCAGAACCAAAACAACAAACACTTCCACTAAACAATGTGCTCCCAAGCTGCAATTTCTGATCGTTGTACTCAATGTCTTTAACATACACAAAAAGAAGGTGATCCAAAAGAGTAAGCAGTGACATCTAAAAAGTTCTTTGAGGATTCAACACCATATTCATTGCAGGAAAAGAGTAGCAGCTTACCTGATCGTCAGCTTGTGTAAAATCAAAAGCCCCGGGTCCATCCGTAGTTCCAGCTGCAAAACTAAAACCAACTGCTGCTGGGCATGTTGTCACAACCTTTCCAGAGCTCAGCTTCACTGAAAGATTTGTCATGTCCACGTACGTTTGCTTATATGCTATCTTCCCACGGATCTGCTCTTTTGCAGACTGAAATAATTCAATAGCCTTATTTGATTGCTTTTCACCTATTATTCTTGTGCTCTCAAAATGATCTCCAGGATACCTAAAGTTGTAAAAGTCATAACACAGTCTAAGAACATGGTGAAACAAAATATGTACATGAAAGATAGCAAGCCTATTACTAATCAGTCGTTCAAACCTGGTGACATGCAACACTTATTCGAAAATGACAATAAGGTAAGACATGGCAATATAACAACCAGACTATGTAAGCTCACATTGTTCACTGGACCTTCTGTAGCGAAGGGTGTCTTTCTCTCAGTAAACATAAACGATTTGAGTTCTTTTGCAGAAGTACATGAAGAAGGTTCAGACATCACATTAGCTAATCAGCACATAGAGGACTTAGAGCGACAATGACATCAAAAGTCCTTCCTGTTAAGCACCAAAAAGAACGGGGTTAAAAATGTTGATAAACTTACGCGGGACCACGACCAACACATAGCTCGTTCCTGCCATTGCAAGTACTGTGGTTGAAATCACATGGAATGCCTGAATCAAGGCAGAACGCCCCTTTTGTATTCGGGGAGGTGTCCCCGACATTGCTTTGGCAAAATGCTCCTACGAAAGGATGGCGTAGAGGGTATCGAAGCTTGCTCCTCACTTTGTGCAAAACACTAGAAAACTGACTACTGGATCGCCCTCCTGAGGGCCCAATTTGAGCTGCTATATCATTAAATTTCGTTGCTACTACTTCTCGCAGATTACCTATTAGTCCAGAATGACACAGTAAAAACATTGAATATATCAAAGAAAATCGCTTGTTAGAAAAGTAATTCCTAACTTGAAACCATCCCCAAACATAAATATTTGCAAGGGTGCAACACAGAAAAAAGTCAACTGTTACACTTTCTATGGAAGGGCATCAAACCTGCCTTCGTAAGGCTCAAAGCATGAATTCAGAATACTCACCAAATATGCTAGAACGTCCCCGTAACGATCGTTTCTCAGCGCTATAGAAGTTGGAAAATTCTGTAGGTTGCATATTCATAGACTCAAACCGCTCCTGATTATTACTCTCAAACCAATCCTCCATGAAACGAGCAGCAGCACCCTTGTTATCACCACTAATGAGCTGATTAGTCCGGTTCATGGATGTTCCATGGACAGCGAACCAACTGAAGGATCCTACGGGACCCCATTCAGCATCAACAAACTTCAACAACGACATGTCTTTGTCTACGTTATATTTGTACTTCGCACGTTCTCCAGGAGGATTATTTAAATACGCACTCGGACTCCGATTGATGTTTGCCCCCAGAATCTCACCTGTTGAAAGACACGTCAATCCGGTAGCGAAACACACGATACTGGCAACCAAAACTGCCATTGATGGAATAACTTGGCGATAATGTCACAAAATATTGTGAGCGCTAATTAAATACCTATCAAAATGATATGCAAGATTAAAAAAACAGTTGCTTGCACATGCAGATGAGGAGCTTCCTTGAAGACACTAACCTTGATTAAAGTAAATAGATCCAGGTCGAAGATTATCATGAGCTTCGACAATTGCCAGCTCTATGCCGTCCGCTAGAGCATCAAAAGATTGGCGTACAAAACCCACTGAGGTCACAAGATAGAGCACATACTGCAGAAAACCCCCTGGGCCTGAGTGCGTATGAGTACCGCTGATCGCAACATTCTTCTCGGTGTAAAGGTTGCCGTATCTGTCACGAGCATCCAGGGGTCGCATTGAGATGTAAACTACAGAAGACTTGCCAACATATAATCACTGCAGACCGCATCCACGAAAACGAATTTCTAAAGTCGAGAATCAGGAGGATAAAGGCAAGTCCTAAGCGTACACACATCATAAATAATGAAATAAGTTTGACAACTTGGTTGTGCTCAACATTGCAGTGCTAAAGAAAACAACAAATGAAAATCTAGTCTCGCAACATCAGAGCACAACTTTGGCCTCAAAATAAGCCCACCGAAAAGTTAGAAGCATCACCTTTCTCGCAGACGAGAAAGTACTCGTAACGTAACAGCCATGGATGCCATGCATGCGTCAAGGTTGACGAATAACACTCTGTTCCCATCCATATTACTGGACAGCTCCGCCACAATGAAGGCGCGAGCCCGAAGCCTGAGATGAATACCAGCTGCGTTTTGTAAAGGGTTTGCATACCCCATCATATTCACATCTGCCGCAGGCCCCGTGATGTCATAACTACCAACTCCTATACGATAGTCTGATGAGCTAGGTGCAGATGTTGCTTGTGATATAAGGACTCCCCCAACGGCAATAAGGAACATAAGAACATAGCTACGTTGACCCCAAATTTGATGTAGATCTATATCCATGTCGATGCGCTTTCGGTATCCACTAATTTTTCTATAGAAGGTAGCTTCTTCGACAGTTTATTTCCATCCGAAGGGTGATCACAACATGGCCTGCTCACCTGGAGAAAATCACAATGAAGATAATCCTCGTGAGAAGATAAATTCAAAATCAATAAGAAGCCTTCCAAATTTCGCACCGACAACCGACCGAATATCCGAATATATCATGAGGATTTATTAAACATGGAATTAGAAGCTTTCCGCTGTCATCTGAATGTACGGTATCCTCCATTACTGCAAAAAGAAATGAGGATCATGTACACATCCTCAACCTACAACATTGTTTCGTCAGTCTTCAGCCTTAGCACCGCTTATTAGTCGAACTACGTCTACATTTATGATTGTCTAAAATAGCACACTCCATGTTGACAACGACATCTAGCAACAAATTCACGGCAAAGTTTCGTAATAGATCACGCTATTAGTTCATTGTGCGTTTGTAATCGAACACACTCATTAGCAGCTCAAAATTAAAACCGAAACAACGAAGAAAAAGAAAGATACAAAAAACTGCCCAAAACCCTTCTCTAAATGAGCACTTTCGTTTATTTCGATCAAAGGACGATGACTCAAAGCCTACATCACTACCACTTCATTTACTACATCATACACTTCGTAACATCAGTGTAGCAAATTAAACAGCTGTACTTGCACCACCGAACAGAGAAGAAATCTTTCGAGATTACAAAAAAATTCAGACTAATGATAGGCTGCTTCAGCAGAGATTTGCGAAATAATTAGGAGATCACTTAAGCTACACGCTGAAACCACTGAAAATTCAAATTGAAACATAGCTGAAGAGCAAACCAGCAATTAACAATTCACATGGTCATTGACGATATAAGGTTTGCAGGGAAAAATGCACATCACCTAATTAAACTGAATCCCGCATCACTGAACTGAACAGGTTAGTGACCGAAGCATTACGAACCTCGTTCTGCTTCCACTTCTTCAACAGCGATGCCGCTTCTTCGAACGCAACACAATACAACTCCAACACATCGTTGAGGCACTTCACCCCCTCGTTGATCTGGGCTTCGCAACGACGGAGGCCCGTTTCGCAAACACCGTCCCAGTTCCGGATCCCAGGCGACTGTTCTACTGGAACACGTCGAGGTGGGAGCCCAAGTCGACTGATCTGAAAACTGGGTGACAGTTCTGGGATCTTTTTTCTTTTTTTCTTTTTCTTTTTCTTTATTTTACTTCTGTCATGTCGAAGGAAAGGAGGCAACTTCCTTCGTTCAGGTAATGGATGAACCTAAACATCTTTCGACGGAAAAGAGTGCTTGGTCGGTTACCTTGGATGGATGATAAGCTTATTAACACTTTAACACGTGGTACCAAAGCTATCTCAAAGATCATTTTCTCTTTTATCATTTCTTTTACTTTTACTTTCTATAATAGATAATTTTTAGTATTTAAGTATAAGTATTGTGTGCTACAGTTAAGAATTTTCTACAAACTTCACTGATATCACCAAAACTAAAGTAGCTAGTCCAAGATTACCATTGCTCCTCTACAAGCTTAAAGGTAGATTATGCTTTATATTGAAGTTCTTAACTTCGTTTTCAGTTGAATTTTGAAAATAAGAACATCTCAAAAAAAAAAAATAAATAAATAAATAAAAGAAAGAATAAAAAAAGAAGTTGATTTGCACCAAAAATTTGTGATTCATCAAAATTATTAGTTGTAAATCTAATCATATCTCTACAATCTCTCTAAAGCTTCACTATAATGCTTCATTTCTTTATTTTTTTGGCTAAGTGTGAAGTGTTTTGATTTGTTATTTTATTTTCTCGTAATTTAAACGTATAATTGAGCTTTAACAACAACTTAGATTTTCATCATAATTAGCTCAAACACTAATTAATAATTCATGAAAATTAAACCAATAGTTTTTTTAATGATTTATTTTAATGATTTATTTATTTTCCAACCATTCTTCTTAAACTATCACTCCATTGATTTGTTGGCCAATAAGAAGTTTTTGAACTTCTTACTTAGAATAATCTTTAAAATAATCAAAAGAGTTCATTGATGAGCTCCAATTTTTTTTCTTTTTTTCTTATTTACTTTTATTTTCTAATTCAGTCCTTCTATATATATATATATATATATATATATATATATATAACTTTTATATAACTTTCAAATGAATCAACAACAAATGAAAATTTTCTTTTCATACAAAAACATTGCATACATCCTAATATTTCAATATGCTTTGAGAAAAAAACAAAATTAATAATAAAAAAATAATAAAAAAAAAAACAAACAAACAAAAATGAAAATAAAATTACATATGATAACCACCAATGAGTGCATGTTATTATTATAAAAAGTATGAGATGCATTATTTCGACTTCTACATTTACAACAACCAAAATCTTTTAATATGAGTATATTTGCCCAATTGAATTTAAAATAGCCAATGATAAAATTATTACTATTCATTCTATAAAATTTAATTGATAAATTATAAATAAAGAATAGATCAATAGAAAGTATACAGTATGTATCTTAAATTAATAAAAGAAATTCAACCTGTTTCTTGATACACTCAACAAATATAATAAACTTAATTCTTCAAAACAAAAAATGAAATTATAGTATAAATTAATTTAATCAAAGATTTTTTTTTTTTTTTTTTTTTTTTTTTTTTTCTCTAATTTTAATTGTTCTACTGTTAGTTTCATGTCCAACACTTAAGGTAGAAAAACAATTAACTTACGAGGTCACTCAGTATCATGAGCAACTCAAAAACAGAATACAATCTCTTTTTTTTGACAACTATTTTTTTAAAAAATAATAATAATAATTAATCTATACATACTTTTTCCAAAGTATACTAGTAAAATATTAAAGTCAGAAAAAGAAATTAATACGAAATTCAAATATTTTAAAAAATAAATAAAAATGTCCGAATATATTATAGATTGTTAACACAACTGTTGCTATTTTTATACTAAATTTGAATTAATGCATATAATTAATATTTTAGATTCTTTAAAATAAAATATCTGTTATAGTAACAATACTAATTTGACGAGAAGTGATTTACTCAGTTCAAGAAAACAAACTGATTATTTTTATCTAACTTATCTCTTGACCTTTATTATATGAAGATCATGATTTTATACAAATTGCAATTAGAATGATACAAGACATTTAAAAACTGTTGTTAAAATCATGATAGAAATGAACTTTTCGAAAATCTGAATTCTTTGAGAATAGAGTTTTATTTTATTTTATTTTCGCAATATTGATTGAATTATATTTCAATTGTGTGGAGCATCAATTTCTAAAAACACAATAGAAAAAAATACTCAAAACCACGCAAAATAAAAAAAAAAGACATTTTAAATTTTTTAAAAAATTATTGTAAACTACAAAGTATAATTATCTATAATCAAAAACCTAAATTTTATTAAATATAATTTAAAAGCATTCTTTAGAGAATTTTTTTAATGCTATTGGTGTTAGCTTCTATTCTTTAATAATTAATCTCTATAAAAAAATAGTTAGAAAAACTAAAAATAAGAAAATTATATAAAGAATAGTAGGGCTAATTAAATTTGGTTATCCATTGAATAATCCATTAACATTGATTTAAGATTATATAATAACTATAAATAAAAAAATTATTCAAGCATAGCTTTAAATTATATATATATATATAATTTTCATTGGACTGATTTAATTGAAAATTATGTAAATTACTTTAAATAATTTAGAAATTTATATATTTAAAAGAAAATTAAATTAAAGTATAAAATCATTCAAACACCAAATAAAATGGATGTAGATAGAATTATGCACTAACTTTGTAAGACCTTAACTTACATCTTTAAAAGAATTGGTGTAGAATACTCACAAATTTATTTTCTAAAATATTTTAAAGTAATTTAATCCAAAAATTTACCTTTCAAACTATTTATTTAATAAAAAAATTTAGATATTATTTTATAATGAGATCATTTATATTTTTAAATATAAGTGTAAATTAATTCAAAATTTTCATAAATAGAAGTAATTTTATTATTTTACTGATATTTTGTTAATTAAATTACTAAAATAAATCATGAAATCAAAAAAAAAATCACAAATTTTGTTTAAGGAATATAGTACTTTTTGTGAAACTACAAAACTACACACCTTATATATATATATATATATATATATATATATATAAATTAAAGGAATAAGTATCATTTTTTAGAATGGTTTTAGATTTCAGTTTTATTTTATATATGAAGTGTTTTTTTTTTTTTTTTTTTTTTTTTTGATGTTTTTGATATTATTTTACAAACCAATTGGATGAAATTATCAATTTGTTGTTACCAAAGACACAAATATTGAATTGTTAAATTATTTCATAATTTTAGAAGAATAATTTATAAAAATTAAGATTGCTGCTATATTTTTTTATGTTGTACTATAATTAATCAAAACACTACATGTAAGTTTACAAAGTCTACTGGCTTGTAAGAATTCATCTTAAATAGCTAGTAAAGTAAGAATATAGTAACAGTACAAACCTTAAGTAACAAGAACTTTTTTATATCCTTTGTTTTTATTTGAGCTACTAAAATTACATTCTTTTTTATGCTAATTATATACTTTGTACAATATTAATTATATAAAGAAATTTTTAAAATATTATGTACTTCTAATTATATACTTTGTATAATACTAATTATATAAAGAAAGTTTTAAAATATTGTGTGCTTCAATAGACAATAAAAAAGATCCCAATGAATCTATAGTAATACAATTGATTGACTTAGTTTGAAATGTTACTAATATTTGAGCCCATATTTTAGTAACTTCTTAGTCATTTGATTCAATGAAAGTCTTAAGATGATATTTCAAATACAATCTCTAAGCTAGCACAAATTGTGGTATTAATCTTTAATGATGTCAAGCTGTTTTGCTATGATAGTTGAACTATTGAATTATATGTTTAATCATGTTAAATTTGTAGGCTTTTCAAAGATTTTCCTTTAAAAAAGTCTTATTGTTTGGAAATTTACAAAAGTTGAAGAAATTATCAAAATAGTAGGTCAATATAAGTATATGTTTTTTTGGCATTAATTGTACTAAGATCCACATTTATGATTGATAAAATAATTTGTAAAATAAATCAAAAAGCCTATTCAGAAGTGTTTATGCAATTATTATTTTAAAGTCATATTCTTTCATATGCATAAATATAATAGTTATAATTTAAATAATATGTTAATAATAACACAAAACTTTAAAAATAAATAAATACAATTCAATTGATATTTTTTCAATATCATTATGTCTTTTTTTTTATATATATAATATTACTTCTACTAAGTTATAGGGTGAGCTCACCTTTTGAAACATAACTTATAGGAGGTTAAAACTTATCAAAGTTGCCAAAATCATGAATTTGCTCAAATGTATGCTTTTTGCTTATTGAGTGCATTCCTCTCTACACTCCCAATATCTTGTCATCTCGTATACTATCGTGTTTCATCAATGCCCAGTAACAATAGATCTACAAACAAAAAGATGCACAACCTTTGATTTTATAGATGACTCTTGCTAAGTTGGCCAAAATTGAGTTTAAGCTTACGAAAGTACCGTCATAAGTTAATATTAGAAAGTTCTTAAAGAAACATGACAAGTATGAAGCAATGGACAATGACTAACTTCAAGCAAAATACCTAAGAACAATTCACTTTTTCAACTTCAAAGAAATCCTTCTTCTGAGGATTCTCTAGTATTAATCTTAAAATATGATGTTGTCATTTGAATTATTACAAAGCGCAAAGTATTTACAATCTCCAAAGACAAAATCAAGTTTTCAAATGGCTGGTTTGAGAAATTTCTTTCTCACCATAAGCTAAAAGTTATCAAAATGTATGAAGAAGTAGAGTCAGCTGATTAAGCTGGTATTGATGTAGCAATGCTTACTTTGCATGTCTATTATAGATATACACATATAAATCAATAATTAACTATATGATTAGATAGAAGTAGGTAAAAATAGATTAATTCCATAATATCTTCTTTAGAAGTTTCTTAGAAGCTTTATAG